TTCACATACATGGCCCCCTTTATGTGGTTATCCGAACCACCCCGGCCTGGAAACCAGAGTGAATAAAGGGGGGTCCTCACTTCACATTTTTGTGTAAACTTTCACATAAACATTAACATATTGATGACTTTGCACAATAGATAATCACAACATAAATAGAAGCCTCGCGACAGCACGTGGCATCCGCGTACCTTCTTTGTGAACGGACGTTATCGGCACGTTCGCTACTACGGCACTACCACGGCCACCACGAAAGAGAACATCGACTGATAAGCTTCAATTGAAATGTCATCTTCATCATTCATATAACCAATAAATATATTAGTCAGTTTTTCGTCTTTTCCAAGAATTGTTGCTTGAAATTGAAATTGAAATTAACTTAGTGTCACTATTTTCCAGGTTTGAAGGCCCTAGATTTATTCTATTTCTTTCTTCTTTTCTGTTGAAATTATCCGTGTGTTTGTGAATTTCTATTGCCTCGGTACCAGTCGGCTATGGTATCCCTGGTCGAGGGCAATGAATTCCGTGTTTACAGAATCCTGTGGTTTCCTTCTTCACTGAGTGCGTGTTCCGCCACAGCTGACTTGTCCGTTTGGCCTAGTCTGCAGTTTCTTTCATGCTCCTTCTGCCTTGTTCCCATGGATCTTTTGGTGGTTCCGATGTATACCTTCCCACAAATGCACGGTATGCGATAAACCCCTGCTACTGATAGTGGATCCCTTTTGTCTTTATCCGATCTGAGGCTTCGTTGTATCTTCTTGTTAGTGATACAACAGGATGAAAGGTTGTATCGAGGTTATGCCCGACATTAACTTGGTAATATGGTGGTGCTTCATCCTGCTGAACCCATATCGTATTCACTGGAGCTTGAGGGTTTCATGAATCAGGATATAGGTACATTTGCTAAACTTGGAATGACATCATTTTGAAGTAGTGCCGAATAATTATCGCCATTCAAGTTGCCCTCAATGAAAAAGGGACCAATGGTATGGTTTCCTACAATCCCTGCCCAAAAATTAACCTTTTGAAGGTATTGCGTGTATTCTTTCCTCATCCAGTGAGGATTTTTTGTTCACCAGTAGCGGCAATTTTGCCGATTAGCATGACCATTGAGAGACAAAATACACTCATCAGAAAACATAACGTCTTCTAATTGGATGATATTGTTATCCAATAGGTGTATGGCTAACATTGAATGTAGTGGATGCCTGTTTACTTGATGTATGTGGGTTTTCCTCAAACTCAAGCAGTTCATCACTTATTGCATATAACCTTCAGGATCTAGTATCTTTGAAATAGTTATCGGCCCAAGTTGACAAATATGCATACGTTCGTAGAACATACTTAAACTACTCTATCCAATTTTTTTTTGGCGGATCTCGGATCTTTCCCTAATAAATCTCAAATGGAAAAAGGACGAGGGATACTTTATTTTGAAGTTCGTCCAATTCCTTTTCCAAATGTATTGGGTACTCAATTGAGCATTTTATTACTTGATTTTCGAAAAAAAATTGCATGTGGTTGACAATCAGTTTGTTTTTCATTAAATGTTCAAAATGTTTCAGACAGTGATAAAATATGTTTTCATATGGAAAGTCAAAACTTTTTTCCCAAAAATTAATCTCTCCTCAAAATATATGCCTTTCAATGCTTTCAAATGTTTTGAAAAACTTCATTTCGAATTTATCTACAAGAACCAGTCATTCTTAACATCAATTCTGCTCAATTTTGAAGTTTCATTGTGTAGACAATTGCTTCAAGATCAGTTCAAATATAATCTAGTGGAATTATATCGGGACTACGTTGTGGTCATTCCATACTCTTCTCCGACCAATTCTTCTACCAGAATAGGTATACAAGAAATCAGTAAATAAAGTAAATTATAATAATTTTCGAGCGAAAGCTGAACTCCTGAATTTAAGTCCTACTTGATAATACAACCGATGTGTTTTCGTCTTTTTCCACATTTTATATTATAGAAGAGGTAAAAATATTGCTGTGAATCATTTTTGGATAGGTAATTATCTTTTATATTCAGGGCTTTATACAAAAAAGCGCATAACTTATGTTAAATATAAATAAATGCATGAGATGATTTTGAAATTGTTTAGAATAATGGTTTACACAAGTAATCGTAGGCATGCATCTGATTTCAGTGTCAGATGTCAGTTGTCTGGACCGTCGACCACCTGATTCATAAATTACATAAAAGTTATTTGAACTTTCAATTTTATTACAATTTGTTTCCATCTGAAAACCAGTTTATTCACTTAAAATAAATAGCTGACCTAGACATCAATGTTATAAAATATATTTAGGAATTTAATTGTACAGGAGTGGAGTAGCCCCTTGGTAAACTTTGTTTGTGTATTTACAAACTTATTGGAGTGTCAACCTATAATGTATGATGACTTATTTCAGACTTATCGACTCAAATCAGTATTTCTTTATCTTGGTACCGGTATTTTAATTTTCTAAATTTTTTCAGAGGATGGTGTACCCCGAACAACTGAATCTAGACCAAATCGTTGGAAAGTCTGCTCAAAACGCTTCTTCTTGGTGTAGCGAACCCTTAGAGGAAAACAGCAATAACATAAATGTGTCGGAAGAACTGAAAAATCGAAAGTGCCCCAATAATACAGCTGATTGCGGAAACAGGAATGGCCCCGATGAAACGATTTTTTCTAATTCTAATTTAACCAACCCCATGCCACAAACGTGAGTATATAGTTAGGAAGGACTGGCATTCGTATTAATTTATAAAAGAAGTAAGTTCAATATTATTGTTTGAAAAAAATTAAATATGATGAGAAATTATATGAACAATGAAAAATGAAATGAATACTGATATTTTTTGACAGTAAAAGTTCGAAATTTCAAAGAATGAAGGAAGCATTAATGTTGTTCAAATTGAACATGGACGTGGGTTAATTTCAACCATTTTCTAGGATAGCTAACAGGCAGTTCATACAGGACCGAGTACGGCATCTTGTAGAAGCATTTTCAACTCGAGCTCAAGCCGCTAGAGAAAAAATAGAAACCCCTGCCACCCCCTCATCTATCAGCAGCCGGGAAACAATCGATCCTCAGTCTAGGATTCCCTTGAATCCAAAACTTAGCATTTCCTTTTCCGATAAGTACGATGAACATTTACCGGAAATCAAAATACAAAACGGATTCTCCAAATTCTTCGGTAATTACAAAATAATACAAAAAATTCGTTTATTAATCACAGCGGGTCCATATGTAACGCATAAATTCATTGTAGATAGATAGATAGATAGATAGATAGATAGACATTTATTGATCATACACCCATTTACATTTGATTGATAAGTCAAAACAGAACAATGTTGAAATAATAAAACAATAAAACACTTTAAAAACATTTTCAAAGCAAGCAATACTGGAAGTAGGTAGTACATAGAACACTATTCATTGACAGTCTGAAATGAATTCTGGAATACTATAAAATGCCCTAGATAACAGATAACATTTCAATTTTGTTTTGAATCTGAACAGGTTTGGCTGATTCTTCAAGTCATGGTAAAAAGTTTGCCGCAACATATTTTGGGGATTTTTTATAGGTCGAGTAGTTGACAATTTCCAATCTGAATTGGTTTCTTTGACGGGTTGGGTAGTGGTCGACATCCGCATTTTGAATAAAATGGTTTTTATGAATGTAGGCAAATATTAATAATTTATACAAATAGATACTCGTGAATGTCAAAATTCTCTTTTCTTTGAAAACATCTCTGCAAAATTCTCGAAAATCCTGGTGGTATATCAATCGTATCAATCTAATGGAAGAATATACCAATGCATAGTAAACGCTCATGAGACCTTCTTCATTTAAACAGCTCTTTAAATTTCTCAACGCAAAGAAGTGCTTATTCAAGGTGGAACATAGTGACTCTATGCATTTGTCTCATTTGAGGTTTTCGTCAACGATTGTACCCAAAAACTTGGAGCTACTTTGAAATGTGATCGATGAACTGTTTATATACAGTTTTCACCGATGGCTCTTCCCGTAGTCGATATGTGGAATTGAATAGCAACAGTCTTCGAGTAGTTTATTACTAAATTGTTCTTCTGACAACAATGGTCAAATTGATTTAATAGGTTTTTTGTTTTTGCTATTAGTTCACCTCTGTTAGGGCCAGATATCAAAATTAAGAAATCATCTGCGAACAAGTAAACCTATCCATCTTTCACATGTTCGGGAAGGTCATTTATAAATAACAAAAAAATCAATGGACCCAGGAGGCTACCCCGAGGAACTCCTGAGTCCGCTAAGAATTCATCAGATGTTTTATCATTCACTCTAACTATCAGTTTCCTCCCTTCTAGGAATGAACGGAACCAGTCCTCAATTTTTCCACGTATACCGAGTGCATACATCTTTGTCAAGATGAAATTGAAGTTAAGAGTATCGAAGGCTCGGGATAAGTCGAAAAACAATCCAATGACCAACTCACCTGCCTCCATCTCATCCTGTATCAGCTGAATCAAATCTCTAGTTGCAGTTTCAGTAGAATATCCTTCTCTGAAACCATGTTGGTTTGGGCTAAGTATATTAAACTTTTTTATGTATTGGTTCAGCCTATGTGACATCCTTTTCTCCAATACCTTTGACAATATACTCAATAATGCAACAGGCCTATAGTTGAGTTAAGAATGTCTGTCATTTTTTTTTGTAGATAGGTGATACTAAGGATATTTTCAGCCGCATTGGAAATTGACCCAGTTCAACTGATTTATTCAAAGTATACGCCGAATATGGTGCAATTTCTGTAGCATACTTTTTTATTAGGTAAACTGGAATTTCATCTATTCCAGTAGATTTTTTATTCTTTAGGTTTTTTATTATAACTTCTATTTCAGACGATAGAAAAGGCTGAAAAGAAAAAGAATTAATTTTTGTTATAGATGATGTTGTGCAGTTAATTGAGAGACCGTTACTGAAATTTGCTTTGAGTTGTTCATCTACTACCATCACGAAAAAGTTACCAAATATATTTGCAAGTTCCTGATTATCCAAGATTTGTTGATGATCATGATCAATCTCCATGTCGTTTTGTAAATTTTTCTTATTCAGGCGTGTATTAACAATATTCCAGATCGTCTTATTTTTATCACTCGATTCCTCTATGAGATTCTTATAGTGATTCTGCTTCGCTGTTTTTACATTTTTTGGTTATACAATTTTTTCAATCGTTTATATATGAATGATGACATTAAGAGCGGCATTTTTGGGATTAAACTCAATAAACAATAACAAAGTTCCCGAAACAGTTTATATATTCATTTGATGCATCTCGTACAACAAATGAGTATAAATTTTTAGGCCTTCTTCACATTGAGAAGATCTTCTGTTTATTCAGATTTTGGCGAAAAAATGACTTACACGAATAGGTTCATTCTATTCGCAGAAAGTCAATATTTTAGGTCAGTCGTTGAGCTCTATAGAAATAAAATAGAAAAACAGTCCTTCGAAAATATTAGTAATTTTTTTGATAATTATCGCGACGGGGAACGAGGCTTCTTAATTTTTCAGTTATCTGATCAACTGATCTCTTTCCATTAGACTTCTTATTACAGGATTGTTCAAATTCTGTATGGAAGATATGGCCTGGCCTACAAAATCAAGAAATTGAGAACATATACCTACTGTGCCACAAAATGTTAGAGACGGATTTCATGCGAAACAAAAGTGCTTTTATAAACTTCTATCGCTCGAATTGAAAAAAATAGAAAAAGCACTGGAAAAACAAATGAAAAACAAATGAAGAAGCACTCTCATTTACCAAATTTTGCAGAAAGACTAGCGAACGACCAGACAGACAGAAGATAGAATTTAAAAACTGAAGTCGATAATTTTTCCATAGCAACCAGGGTCAATCTCTTCAAATAAAAAAATTGGAGTCCGGTGAGAGGACCGTAGTGTACCAACTATTCCTAAAAGTAGTATAATTATTACTAGAAAAACCGTAAAATATCGACATGTTTTGGAAATTTTCGATATTATTGTTTATGCATCTAATAATGAATGTATGCGTTACTTCAAAATACTACTTTTCATTCAAAATTTCACTAAAAACTTTAGGAACCCGAAGAAAGTAAAAATTATCGCTGAAACTTTGGTAATAAAATACATGAATATTTACACTGCTCTGTATATTTCCAGAAACGCAAATCATTGACCCAAATTCCAAATTCTACATCACGTGGATGTGCGTAGCAGCCATGTCGGTCCTCTACAATGCTTGGGTGATTCCCTTGAGGAGCACCTTCCCTTATCAAACAAAAGAAAACAGGCCGATATGGATGACGTTCGACTACATGGCTGACTTGATTTACTTGATCGATGCGCTTTTTATCCAGCCGAGAGTCAAATATTTGAACGACGGCTTCTGGGTCACTGACGTTAGGTTATTGAGGAGGAATTATATTAAAAACAAACGTTTTAAGGTGAGTAGGAATCATTATACGAAAGTAATTTTTGTGTACTTACAGTCTTTTGAATTTTCAAGATTAACAGGACAGTCAAAGTATAGATTCAGCGATCTAACAAAACGTTTAACAGGTTTCCATCTCTCTGTTCAACCTTTTACAGTGAAAGTCTTACAGTAAAGTGTGTTATTAACTTCCAATATGAATTTTCACCAAGTATCGGCCAATTTTTCATACATTTTGCAAAAAAAAATTATAATCTACATGAAGAAATCAGAATACAAAGAAATATGGCTTGTTTAGATTAAAAACAGATTTTTATATTTTGGGATACCTAACTGTAATCTTGATCATGACAATTCCAGAGATTGTTTTGAAAATTGTGTTATAGCTGGATCTTCTGTCTCTTCTGCCCCTCGATTTTCTATACTTCATCTGGGGCCCGGAGTTCGTCGTTCTACGCTTCCCGAGGTTTCTCAAAATCTACACTTTCTGGGAATTCTTTAGCTTCATGGATAAATTGCTCTCCAACCCATACATAATCAGGGTAACCAGAACGCTCATGTATATGATGTATTTGATCCACTTGAACGCTTGCGCATACTACTCGTTTTCCGCTTGGGAAGGAATCGGCAGCAATAACTTCGTGTACAATGGACAAGGAAACGCTTACATCAAATGTTTTTATTTCGCAACAAAGACTGCCACTTCGATTGGTGAGTAAACTATTTATTTCTGCGATTAATAAGGTATGAGTTTTCGAACGTCCCTCGTAAACTTTTCGAATCTCAATTACACTAAGGTCAATGGATCTTTACATATGCGTGTATCAGAAATGAGTCAAAAAAGTAATGAAAACGAAACTACGTGGCTACAGCTCTGAATAACCTAATCTTTTAATAAAGAATTGCTTTCATTCATACATTTCACAGAAAAGTAGTCCCATGAAATTCGTCCGCATTTTATCAATAATTCTGTAATAATTTGTCAATATAACTATTTTGTGACGGAATATTAGATAAAGTCACTTCCGATAGCTATACATCAATTGTCGAATTTGGATTTCAACTCACATTAGTAAATTTATATTTATGATTCGTAGACTGAAGGAATTCGCCGGTATCAGAGCGGTCAAATCTTCTTACTTTGGACTCTTCCATAGTCACTTGGTATGCGACATAGTGTTTTGAGGGAATTTCGCTCATTTATAAAAAATGGTATTGCAAAAAATAGTTATACGTCAGATATCTAATGTCAACTTTAGATATCATTGTCTCCCACTTTTTAATCATTTCAAAATTATGCCGCTTCCTTCAACTTTTATATATGAAACATTGATGCAATTCATAAAAATAGATCAAATTACAATCGCAACAACACTAATATCCAACAAGATCATCAAATCTGATAAGAACTGAGAGATTCAGACTAAGCATCTCACAGAAAAATTTCATTGAATTTGAAATTATATAATAAAGTACCTTGTCACATAAAACAACTCAGTTTCTACTGTTTCAAACGAAACTAAAAGTAATTTTTTTTAATCACTGTTTTTATTCCACAAATGAATATATGTATGTTTTACAACATAGATAATTTGTGTGACTTCGAGTGAGTAACGATTGTTCTTATTTTTAACATTAGTTGTTTGATGTTTGATTGCTTAATTGTATTTATTATTGTGTACATTGTTCTGTTATGCAAGCATTGTGATAGTTCTTTTTGTATATATGACGATATATTCATGACTTTTGTGTTTTGACTTGCTACAATAGTTTGTTCAAATGTATCACGTAGCCAATAACTATTCTATATTTTATAGAAATATGTGTTTTATCGCGCCAAGTACCAATGACGCATGTGTAATGATTTGTTGCTCCGAGTGTATTGTAGAAAATTATAATGTAAATGTTCAAGTAGCATAAAAATTTACTACTTAAGACAATCTCCATTTTTACTTTCTCTTTCGATGGCAAAAGTTCTGCACTATATAGAAAAATATAATATTGAATGACGTAGAAAATGAAAAGTACATTTGACAGATCTGTCATTTGACAGATTTCAAATTTGACAATTAACAGATTGAAAATCATATTTCCTCAGAGTAATAAAAGACAATAGAGTGGCCTTTTGCATCCTTACCTTGAAGGCAGCATAACTTTGTTTGTTTACGGAAAGTAAGTTGGACCATAAAACAGTGGCGGTTGATAGGGATAGTATGTATTTATAAAATAAATCATTTCACGTGAAAATGTATTCCTACAGGAAATCTGATTTATTATTGATGATTATGGAAATGAGGCCAGTTTTTCTACCACCTACTAGATTTTTATTTATGTATGGCTTTATAATAAAGCGCGTGGTTGACTTGCTTAAAATTAAATTATTTCATATGAACTAATTCATAACAATGATAAATGTTAATTTCAAAAGTAACGAACTTTGCTTCATAAAATTAGATGAAGAAATTTGTGATTTATTCTCAGATTTGATAAACAAGCGGTACGGTTTGTGAGGTCCGATATAAAGAATTTTCGATTAGAAATCATTTATATTTATAATTACGATGGTGGTTTGATATTATTCTGTGATTTCATTCAAAATTGGTATCTAGGGTTCTTTGTGGACTGACATTATGTCATTCTTATAAATGAAGATTTTGAAACTACGTTTACATTATTTCATTATCTGACATATCCCAACCAAAAAGAGGTTAAAAAAATGGCAACCGTCATTTCTTATTGAATATTGTCTGTATGCAACTCGAAAGCCTCGTGCAAAGAAAGAAAAACCACAAGAATAACTATTTAGTATACAAACTGAACATTGAGCAGAAAGCTTTTCAATCTATTGATCACAGAATGGATATGACACATATGAAACACACATTTTTCATTTTTGAATACAGTTTTTTTTTTCATTTACATTGACGATTTTTAGTAATTATAGAATTCCACAACAAAAAATAGAAAAAAAAAACATAATGTCGGTCCACAAAGACCCCTAGATACCAATTTTGAATGAAATCACATAATAATATCAAACCTCAATCGTAATTATAAATATTCATGATCTCTAATCGAAAATTCTTTATATCGGACCTTACAAACCGTACCTCATGTTTATCAAATCTGAGAATAAATCACAAATTTCTTGATCTGATTTCATAAAGCAAAGTTCATTACTTTTGAAATTAACATTTATCATTGTTATGAATTAGTTCATTTGGAATACTTCAATTTTAACCCAGTAAACCACGCGCTTTATTATAAAGCCATACATAAATAAAAATCTAGTAGGTGGTAGAAAAACTGGCTCCATTTTCATAATCATTAATAAAAAATAAATCAAATTTCCTGTAGGAACTATTTGAACAGAATACGTTTTTTCACCTGAAATGATTTATATTATAAATATATAATATCCCTCCGATTATCAACTAAACCAACCGCCACTGTCTTATGGTCCAACTTACTTCAAATGTAAACAAACTCTCCATTACCCGTCACCCCCACATAAGTTGTACAGAAAAGGATAGTACGATAACCGTTTCAAAACACATGTATTGTATTGGTATCGGCACCGTACAAGCATGGCAACTCTATATCTTATTATTTCTCTGAGCATATTTCCAATAGCTTCGATCCCCTTGAAAAGTAAATTGAAACTTCTTACATTACCGTTCAATCACAATATTTATTGAAGACAAATAAATGTCAATTTTTTTTCCGAACGTATCAAATGTGTTGAGATATTCAGTTGAAACCGTAGTTCAAAAACCAAGTATTTGTGATCCGAAACTAGACAGCGTAGTTTCGATATGCTTCAGTAGTACTGGGCTAAACTACGATTGCATTGTTGGACTCAACTGGCCTTGTTTATCATTCATATTCGTATATTAAATATTTTGTTGTCTTCCTCTTCTAAGGCATCGCTTTTTCTTACTCAGACTTGTATTTTAAAAAGAGTAAAGTCCAACAATACATTCGTGGTGTCTATCCCAGTACCACTGATGATACCTAATGCGGGTCGAAACAGCGCTGTTTGGTGTTAAATCATGAATGTTTTGTTTTTGGACTCTGGTTTCGACTAGTTGTCTTGCAGTGAAAGCTGCAGAGAAAGGCAGAGAAAGACAGAGAACGAATCTTGTTTCAGCGATTAATGTCGAACTACTGTCTGCTTTTAGTGAAAGTCTAGTTTATCTTTGATATTCAAGGATTGGGATTTTCAAAACTTCAATTTGAAAAGGTACGATTTTTTTTGTAATGATTTTTCAAGAATTCGTTTCTCAAACTTTCATTCAAAAAAAATATGGCAGCAAGTAATTGAGTAGACCATTGTAGATTTTAGAGCAAGAAAAGAGCAGATTTTCCTCGTCATTCAGTATTTTTTCCATATGGTGCATTATTTTCACTTACAAGGTATAAATAAATAGAATTGCTCCCAAGAGGGATCCTTGTGGGAGAACGTTATTTTTTTTCTTACAGGTAAAAATCCGAAACCAACTCAGGAAATCGAATACATGTTCATGACCTTTTCATGGTTGATGGGCGTCTTCGTATTCGCCCTTCTCATAGGTCAAATTCGTGACATCATTTCCACGGCTACCAGATCGAAGACAGAATACAGAAAACTCGTTGACGAAACGTTGGAGTACATGCGTAGACTGAACTTGCCGCAGGATATGCAACGGAGAGTCCAATTGTGGTTCAACTACACCTGGGAAACTCAAAGGACCTTAGGTATGGTAGGTGTGTTGGCCAAAATGGAAAGTTTACACGTGTTTGCTGTTTTCAGATGAAAACACAATTATGGACTGTTTGCCACACAAGATGAAGACTGATATAGCTATAAACGTCCACATCCAGACGCTGAGCAAGGTGAAGTTGTTCGCCGATTGCGATGAAGCTCTTTTGAGGGAGTTGGTTTTGCAACTGAAATCCGTAATTTACCTGCCAGGGGATATAGTTTGTAAGAAGGGGGACGTAGGAAAAGAAATGTACATTATACAGTCGGGAAAGGTTCAGGTGAGCACATAAATTAGAAGAGATCAGAAGTTACTTATTTTAAATTCAAAAAATGTATTTGTAGGTTATAGGAACGTCAGGAAATGAAGTTTTGGCGACACTTTCTGAAGGTTCCGTATTCGGAGAGATAAGTCTGTTGGGTATCCAAGGAATGAATAGAAGAACAGCCGACGTAAGGTAGTTTTCAGTATTTGCCATAAAACTATAATGAATCACGATTTTATAAATTTTGCTTGTTATATCTGAGGTATGAGGCGTGTGGTGGCCACTCATAATTTCTTTCAAAATATTGCATCTTATTTCACGAAGCCTTCACTTGCAGGTCTCAAGGCTACTCGAACCTTTTCGTTTTGAGTAAGGCAGACTTGAACGCGGCTTTATCTCATTATCCAGAAGCTCAAGAATTGCTCAATAAGAAAGCGAAAGCTTTAATGAAGAAAAATGCAGCCCTAGAGAGGAAACATAAAGCAATGATCATCATAAAAAATCCCAGCACTCCTCAAAGTCAAGCCAAACTTTTAAACACTGTCCTTCAGGTTCGCAAGAATTGAGTATGGGGGATGTTCAGAAAGTAATAATGAGACTTGTTGCGAATAACCATTAATGAACTCGCCACATGTCTGGATATTTCATTTGGCAGCGCTTTTTCAGTTTGGTACGATAATTAAGACATGCTACGCATGTCTTGTAGATAGATATTTCTATGGTGTGAGCAATCACACCATAGAAAAGGAACACGGTTGTTTCGCGTGCCAAAAACTGTTATAACTGTAGAGTATTACTCTAACTTTCTGAACAATCCTCTCATATACTCATGTCAAAACTGAGTATGTACGATTTTTGAATTCCTTTTTCCAGGTTGTGCCTCCAGATTCCAGAGCGAACAGGCTTTTAAGGTATGGAAGTAGGGGGAAGCCCATGCCAAATCCAGAATATGATAAACTCAAATATAGAAACAGTTTACCTGCTATTGAGATATATAATGGAGCAAATGACAAAACTTTTCAAACGAAAGTGACTGTGCACCGAAGTATGAGCTGAAACTCTTAGTTGTTTGGAAAAAACTTTAATACATTATTTTTTTATTACAAAGCAATGAATAAATAAATCTTTGTAATTTTCAGTCATTGTTATTCGGACCCTTCGATTGCCATTTTTGTCTTATGATTTCCGGAGCACTAGCGCTGAACCTCAAAATATCTGCAGCTTCCTCAAGGTATCCATTTGAGTCTTCATCACTGACCTACAGCAGGATGGTACTCAACAGTTATAATATTTCATTGTGCCCATGTACTTACTTTTTCATCTACGTTACTACTTTGTCTCAGTTTCATTTCTTCAAGGCATAGATATGCTTCGTACAGAAGAAGCCCTCTTAGGTGGCACTGCCCGATCTTCAACTTCTTCAGCAGGTCCAAAATGTTTTGACAGTACTCCCTCTTCAGTTTCAAGAGATCCATTGTTAAATCTGTGAAATAAATGAAACAATTTCATTGTGGTTCTTGGAAATACGTATCATAGAAAGATGTCAATACATATATCTGCGGTAAAGGAATTTGATCACATGGAAAAGCCAACTTTTGCCTCCTTCTTTAAAGGTTCTTGTTTATCCAAACAAAATAAAAAATAGCTATACGATTGAGTAAAAAAAATAACAAACTATGAAAATTCGCAATTCGATTACTATATTTGACTTCTGAGTAGCACACGTGATCCTTTTTATTGAAGAAAGAATCGTCAAATTCTGAACGACTGTTGCGTATAGTAGGTACTTTAGATGATTGCATTTTTCTTTCATACTTTCTTTCATAGTTGAGACTGTCACTATACTATGCCTATAGCCTACGTTGAGGAGTACTGCAATGGGATAACTTACTACACACAATCCGATATTGTAAACAATCTATCTTGCCAGGTATAGAGATTCCCTCTACCTGTGGGCTGATTCTTTTCGTGTAGACAATTTGGACAAGTACCTAACCTAGATATACCTAATTAAGAAAACAATGTCGTTTATAAATGACAGAGTGACGTAATTTTACAATTTTGAAATGCAAACGCACATTTACAATACGAGGAGTCGAGCTTAGGTACTCTGGTCAGTATCTTCGAACACTGACTTACCATTTAATATTTTTTGTTGTAGAGAAAATAATTCGACTGTACCTTTCCATTGATATCCTTCCTTGTATCCCAAAATCCAAATCATCTTGTACTTGAGTTCGACAATGACCTCACCGTATTGGGGCAGCATCGACGTCAATTTTTTCGTTAAAAACGAATAAATGTACTTGAAATCGCTGTCATCCAAACCTCTCAGTGTAGAACCAATCAATGAAAATACTCTGGCGACATCTTTCAGTGGCACAGCTTTTTGGCAATCTTCGCATCTCCATTGAGAGTGTTTCAATGGATTGATTGGGATGACGTTTCCACGGCAGCTTTCGCACAAAATGGCGCTCATGTAAGTGCCAAATTCTGTAGGATCGACACATCTGGAATTATTAATTATACAGTGCATTTGTTTAATGCCCCCCCCCCTTTTATTTTTTGAACGGGTCAACTAAAAAATGTACATTCGTCACTAAAACAAATATTGTGGAGATTGGTAGGATGCCTTGCAATGGTTTCCGTCATGATTTCGCAGAATTCTGTTCTTCGATCGGGGTCATCTTCAGTTAATTGGTGTACCATTTTAATTTTGTATGGATGATACCCGTTCATGACGATGTCATGATTCATGAGTCATCGTATACACAACCTAGTGCTCTTATGGCTAAAGAGGAATTTATTTAATGAAAAATGTAATAAGATTGTGGGTACATGTACTGACTAGTAGTACTTAGGAAATTACCAGGAGTATTTCACAAGGTCCGAACCTTGGACCTTTTCTCTTCATAGTGTATACATATAGGGTCTTCCAATAGGGACTTCCAAACTTTGACAATTGACAACGGCCATCTAATTGAACTTACATCTGTCAAATCAGTTGCCATTTATTGAGTACGTTTTGTCAAATCACCATGAATGGAATAGTATTCAACAACACGCGCAAATAATAAAATTGTTTTTTCAAAATGGGCGCATTTTACGGTCGCCATAATCGTCCTACCGAGAGGACTATTCGCAATGTGAAGGATACATTTTAGTTCACTGATTCAGTAAACGACCGACCAACACTCGTACGTAGACGAAACGCAAGATCTGCCGAAAACATCGCCGCTGTATGTGAAGTTGTGTGTCAGTTTATGAGATACTATTTTATTTGAAAAGTTGAATGAATCCAATTCAATTATTATACCCTAAAATTAAAAAATCTGCTATGTATAGTAAAGTGAATGTATGTTTATGGCAGATAATTTTCATGGATAAGGTATATTGGAAAATTTTGTTTTAACTTACCTTTCGCAGGAGCAAATGAAGTGTTTAGTATTTCGCAAATGAAACATTCTCGTTATTGTTCCCCAAATGAGTCTAAGGTAGGAATGAAATATTTCGGTGTCTTTCTTGATAAAAACTGAAGCTCTCACCACCATCCTGTGTTTATCGTCAAACATATGGGTTGCGTTGGGGTAGCATCGGTGGTTCGCCAAACTACCTAGAGGATACAGCCCTGAAAATGAAGAGAAAGCCGGAGAGCGTCGTTATAATTATTATTCAAAGGATGTTCTATTTGAAATAACTAAAATTCTATTACCCTTGAAAAATCACTACATAGTATAAAAAAACAAAGTCGCTTCTCGCTGTAGGTCCTTATGTGTGCTTAGATATATAAAACTATACACAACGGATTTTGAAGCGGGTTTTTCAATAGATAGTGTAACGAACCTGAAGCCGCCCCTGATCGATACACCAACCGACTCATCGAACAAAAACATGACCTCACCGCGAAAGAATGCAACCGCCGGTAAAATTCTAGTCGAATACCGAACCATCTACAAAATTCTCAAAAGGAACTTTACCAATATAAGCCCGTCTTACCGACCCAAGACGCAAGGCCGTAGCCAGGGGCGATCAAGGGGGATTGATCTCCCCCGAACAATGTGAGGATTTTGTGAGGAATACTAAATAAGGGCGCGAAAATGTCGGTATTACGGCAGCTCTAAGTAAGTACTTTTGACATCTTACATTGGCAGCACTGTTTATGCCATTTCTGCGGAATAATAAGAGACCAGTTCGCGCAGGCGCAGTTCTGTCTTACGTGATTCAATGCGAGTACGGATATATTATATATATGCGAAGTAATAATGCAGTGTGTAGAATTATAGTGTTGCGAATTAGTGAAGTGAAAGTGAGTAATGATATGATTTTTGTATTTGAATTAAAAGGATTTGATGCCTAATAGTAGACTACTCACTGGTATTCATTCTCTTTAAAATCTATATTGAAGTGAATATTTTTGTACAAATGAAATTAATACTTGGCTCCTTTTTATAATTGTTNCTGATTTTTTATTTTAATAGTATATGTTACCTATATAGTGATATAAGGGGGGCCCTGTTGTAGGCTTATGCCTCTTCAGGGTAGAGGAAGGTTTATATGCATACAGAGTGGCCACTTTTTTAATGGGATTAATTGCACCTTGACTATCCGACTACCTCATTAACGATGAAACAGCAGAGCATATACTTTGTGCCTGCCACGCTGGGGACTGAATCTGGTTTTTAGAGTTCGGTAGAGCCGTATTCTTACCATCTAACTTGAAAGACCACTCACCATACAAAGTAATCGGCTTCAAGAAGCTGTGTTTATTTGGTCGAAGGTGAATAGGTGGGAGCCAGAATAAACCCTTGCGGTTTAAACCATAAGAGTTAGAAGGTCGGTCAAATAGAGAGAAAGTTACATTCATAGAAACACTGTCACGTGGTTCAAACAAATCGAAAATATCAGGGCCGGTTATTAAGGTATTATAAGTAGATTTTGTCATTTCGATCTTTCTTTTTTCCCCACATTATTTCAAAAATAAAAAATGTCAAACATTTTTCTTTCGACAGTGAATTTTTCTCAATTTGACGTAATCAGATTTCGAATCCAACGATTCGGACTCTCTGGGGCACCCTCAACCTCATTTTTTTCAATACGGCCCTGCATATTTTATGACACTTCGAAATAACTTTTCACGCTAAATTCAAGGATATGTCATACATCGGCATTCAAAGTTGATTTTCAGGTGATTTTGACCCTCATCCAAGTTTCTTTGGTTGGGATCTGTATTAATTTTTCTTTGTTGAATTTAACAACATGCATTTCATTTCGATAAGAAAATAAACTCACTCATCTAAAACTGAATGGAATGTATCACAATCAACGCAAGAAACAAGTAATTATTATTTACTTTTTTCAAGTAGAGAAAAGCCTAATTCATAATAATTTAACGAAACTCGTCACACTCGAAAACCTGTAGCTTTTACAGTTGTGTTTACTACAGTATACAGAACCGGTGTAAATTACCTAGCAAAAAGTCCGTGTAGGATTCACCTGTTAATCTTGCCGGTAGAAAAAATAGACCAATTCGGTAGTCGCAAATTATTCCAACCCAAACGTTCACCGGAAATTGTTGCTGAAAATGACTTTCTCTAATAACGTGTGGATTTTCATGGGTCCAAAAATGGTCATTGTTAAAGTTCATAATAGCATCTCGTGAAAAATTTGCTTCGTCCGTAAATAAAATATTTGGCAAAAAGTTATTGTGTGCCATCGTATTAATTAACCATCTGCAAAACATTATTCTTGGTTGAAAATCCCGAGCAGTGGAGCTTGGACCCGCTGTATGTAATATGGGTATAGGAGGTTTCTTTTTAGAACTGTCAATATGGTTCCAGCTGCTGTGCAATCTTCCTGGTACTATTTGAAGGATCTTCTTATATCGAATCAAGTACAGTTCTGTTTAGTTAATAGTCTACTTATCTTTTCTGATAGCCACAATAAACCCTTGCGGGTTGCGGTGGAGGATCGAATA